AGAAGAGCTGCTCCACCGTGGCCTGGCGCACGGCGCGCAGGCTGGGCAGCAGCAGCAGCAGGCGGCCGAAGCGCGTGGGCTGGCGCGGGTAGCGGCTGCGCACGTAGTCGCCCAGGATGCACTGCGCCTGGTCCTGGAGCATCTCCACCGGCTGCACGTCGCACAGCCCCGCCGTCTCTGCGCACACCACCGCCACGCTTGTTAGAGGGGAGGGTTAGGTGGATGTACACCAAGGGTTCTCAACGACGTCGGTATAGACCCCCCTGGGGGCCGATGAAATTTTGAAGGGGGTCAATGACGTTGAATGGGTCGATTGGGGGTGAACAAGCGCCTGATCAGTATAATCAATATCCTCTTGGTTAGAGGAAAAAAAAAACACTAATAAAAGTAATAATCTCCTTTATGATATAAAGCAAAAAAAAACAACCTATAATAATAAATTATATATTTGCTCCCCTTCGTTCGTATCCGTCGTTTATCCGTTAAAATTAGAATGTTAGGAAAACTCAAGATGTTAAAACTATGTATTCACTACGAAATCGCACATGAAAGTCACCTCTGTAATACGCTGTGGAGAATTGTTATAGCCAGTTCTTAAAAGAATAAAAAAATAAATATAACCATTGGATAGAAATAGAATTAAAAACTCAGATACTCAAAATTGCAAGCTTTTCCGATTATTGAAAGTAGAGATTTTTATGACAATGTCTGTGTTTGAATTTGTATCTTGAAGGCATTTAGTATGTGCGAATCTTTGTATCATGATTATGGATGCTGTATACTATAGGAAAAACGTAAGGGTGTCGACAAAGCGAACAATTCGTTTAAATGGGGTCGATGGAAGAACAAGGTTGTGAATCCCTGATATAGACTATCAATGTGTGTAACTCAATGCTAAAATAACAGCAGTTTTGCACTTCAGTAGCAATGGAAGGATAATCAAACATTCAGATTTCGGACTTCAAGCAGTGTGGACATATTGGGAAACGAAAGAATATGTATTGTGCATCCCTACTCTAGTAAACAGTGTTATTTTGAGTTATAAACCACTGAGTGCTAACACTATCAGTAAAAAAGATCAAACAATTTGGAGGAAAATATCTGCTTTTATTGACTTAGCATTATGAGAGCGGCAAACCATCTGTGCAAACTGCTTCTAGTTGAAGAAAGAAAAAAAATGCATAAACTCTAAAAAATTACTAAAGGCTATAATTTCTATTCGTTGTTTAGATTTATTCTGCAGTTTTTTACAGTAAAAAAACAAATCACTTATCATTTTCTATGATGGTTTGCAACCCCCAAGTCCAATATTCAGAAAAAATTAAAAATGCACAAAAAGGGCAGGCAAAAATAAAATGTAAAATGTGAGAATATAGAATAATACAAAAGTAATAATTATAAGAAAAACAAAATGTCCATAAATACATTTTTAAAGATATGCAAAGTAAAACACATACAAAAGTTTAAACATTTTGTGAACAAATCAATATTGCAGCAAGAAATACTGGTAGTACTACATTTTAAATATTAATCGAAAACACAGGAAACACATTAACAAGATTGGAAATCTTTCGTTTTTCGAATACGCAGGTGAAGATGCTGAAACTTGTTTTTCTAAGCCCAGGTGCACTTAGAAATATTAATAATTTTTAAAACCAATCAAACCAAAACAACTTACCTGGTGTGAAGAGGACGACTGCTTTCATGCAGCCACACTCACTTCCGTCTGGGGAAAGTTGTCGAAATCTGCTCAGAATTTCCTGTGCAAATCAAATACATACAAAATGTAAAAATAAAATACATTGTAATAGACCTTGCAAAACATCTTTTTCATATAAGATAGTTAATGCGAATGAAGCAACTTTTTCCATCATACATGTATATTACGAGTACAACGAATTTACAAGGTCAATGTTATGGAATTCAATGTCTAGTTTATAATTAATGAAAATAATATTTTTTAAGCTAATAAAATGTATATTTCTGATTTCACGAATCTTACTCAAGAAAATTTTTGTATTTAATTCCTCTGCGAGGAAAATTTTCAGTTACCTCACCTGAATAGTTTTGATTTCGTTGTTGGTATGGTCGTCCTGAGGCAGACGGTCTCGAGCTTTACTACACCCAAAAAGGCCAGAGAGATCCCAAGGAATGGACCATTGTGCTAAGTGCAATAGAAATAGCTCCTTCCAAGATTCTTGAAGTAATAGAAGCTGTTAACAGAAAAAAAATGTATCATTAGGTTCTTTTGGGTAATTGGCAGAGAACCTGAAATGAGACATACGAAATTTCTAAATATTGGAACGGTTAAACTAATTCGTATGAGAAGGAACAACTTTTTTCAAGTGAAAATGTTTTGAAATAATATTCAATAATAAGAGCACACACTACAACACAGTGCGATTTTCCAGATCTATAACTGAACGTTTAGAATATAAAGAAGATATAATAATATGAATAATACTTATTTATACTATACATTTTATATATACTACTGATATATAAAATTAATCGCTATTACTACAAAACCTTTCAAATATAACGGTCTTTATTAATTACTTATATAATTGCCTTTATTAATGTTTGTATAAATAGAAATCTGAATTTTTAAAAAGTACGTACGCCGGATGTAATAACTAGGTTGTATATAAATTGGTGCCCTGGGGATTGTCACGGTCAGTGTTTTAAAATATCTATTATTCTACGTGTAAAAAAACGAATGTCAATAAAAAAAATGGTACGAAACGTCATCGGCGATTTTGAGAAATCGATTTATTTCACACCAGATGAAAATTAAATTGGTAACTAAATACAGTTATTTGTCAGTGAATGAAATAAAATTTAAAGATCGGTTGCTCATACAGTTCTATTATGTAGGAGTATACATCAAGTATTAAAATGTTTCTTTCTAACTTTATTCATATGTGCATTCAAAGATAGAGGATTCTGGAAATCAAGAAACTTGAGAAATTGTACTTCTCCTTCCACCCGCGAACATCTTATGTGACTTGTCATATACGTTTGCAATTGTGTATGTGACTAAATAAAGTAATTATTATTACTAACGTATCCGGGCGAGAACTCCCACATGTTAATTCCCACCCTTTTCGTATCCATTTCCGTATCCTTTCCATTAAGTAGGAAAGTTGTTAATGAAATGCGTTTATTTGTTAAAAAATATAAAAGTAACTTTGCACTTACAGAATATTAAAATAAAAACAATGCAATTTATTTTGGAAACAAATTTTCAATAAAGTTTTATTCAGTATTATATAGATACGTTTTTTTTAACAATTCACACTTTTTTAAAAACAATATTTGAAGTAATTATTTAATCTACCATAACAGTTAGCTTTTCGCTTTTCTTGATCGTCACAAAAATATTAGAAAAGGTTTTTACTCTTGAGAAAGCCAACAAACCAAACATAACAAGGCGCGTCTTCACTCTTCACTGTACACCCACATCCCTCCATAATTGGGTACACATCACTTGTAGACCACGGCAAAACGTTAAATGAATGTTCATTACACGCCTAAGAAACAATCTTCATCCGAACCAAGCAACTATTAATATTACTTATAGTTGTTATTGCGAAAGTGAATTTGGAATTAATAATTATGCAAATAAACCTCGTCAGTCTGCGCAGTGTACACAGAAAGCGTAAATAGTATAAGATAGAGAAATCTAAGCCTTCTAAGCGTGACATCACAAAGATTGCCACTATCACCAAGGGTTGAAACTTAGCTAGCATTGGTAGTATTCGATAAATACTGAACCAGGAAAAATTCAATAGAATGTCCAAGAATATCTCATCCTGTAAATTACAATATGACGAACATTTCTTTGAGGTCTCTGACCTCAAAAGTTTCGTTTTAAGGCCCTACAATGCTTCGTTTAGGAGTTATTTAACGATATAGTTAACTGAGTGCTTCGGATTGCATTTGACATGAATATTTGGATGCGTTTTTTAGACAAATTTGTCATATTTTTAAAGTCAAAGTGCAATTCGTCACGTCTCTGTGAAATTCTCTTTCTTTAGAGTCCTCATTTATAAA